AGTACGACAAGGGCTGCGTGCCGGCTCACTCCGCTCCGGGAGGCCTGCGCCCTGCCTGTCAGCGGCTCTTGATTCCATGCTTGGCCGTACACTCAACAGATATCCAGTTTGGCTCCAGGAAGTATGGAATACTCGGGGGATGATTCTGATTGCGGATTGCAGGAAAGCTGCAGCAGTAGTTCCGATGCTCTGAGCATGGACGTCCCTTCAGAGCCGGAAGCTATGGATGTAGCAGAAGTCTGCGAGACACAGCTACAAGCATCTAGACAAGAAGGTTTACTGCCTCGGACTATGACCTGGGCTTGTCATTTGTTGGATGTATTGACTCAGCTCGTACCTGTTGCGGAACTCCGGAAAACCCTTCTGGCCCAGCAGACAGAGACATCCTTTTCAACGTATTGCTCTGGCATCGGGTGTCCAGAGATTGCGTTGCTGTGTTTGTCTAGGGCCGCCGAGATCTTCGGAGGCTTCGAGATGCATGTGTCTTGCAGCAGTACGTGTGACATTGACTCATCCTGCCGGCTGGTGCTGGCCAAGCGGCAAGGTGGAGCACATATCTTTCAAGACCTCTTCCATCAATTTCCGGGGTGGGAGCGTGACGCCAACCTGGCCCCAGCTGAGCAAGTGGCGCGACTTAAGGCTTTCTACAGACCTGGGGTGGCGTGCCCCTGCAGTGCTCACGCACAACTTTGCTCGGAGCCTCCAGTGGACGGGCACGTGTTGGGAAGCCCGTGTCAACCATGGTCAAGATACGGGCGTCGCCTTGGTCACTCTGATGCTCGCACTTGCGTGTTCTACGCATGGATGGCCAAAGTTTTGGTGGACCAGCCCAGATGGGGAGTACATGAAAATGTCATAGGCTTTGACGTGTCGTTCATGGAAGAAATCCTATGCCCAGTCTACCACATCTTTCATTTCCACATTTCTCCGGCAGACCTGGGATGCAGTCTAGTCAACAGACCCCGGCTGTACAGCGTGCTCCTACACCGCACGAAAACCACAGCTGTCAGGGATGCGCAGGCCCGGCGTCTTGTCCTCGCAGGGATAACTAATTACTTTAGTATTGTCTCGAGCAAGAATTTTCTTCCCTGATAAGGTGCTGCTGCGCGAGCTGTTGGGGAGAATGCAATCCTTGCAGCCAAGCTTGGTTATCAAGGATTTCTTGGTGGCCACGCCCTCCATCCTCTTGGCGCATGAGAACGCCCTTCGTGCCAAGCGTCGTTTGGCTCCTTTGACGACGTGGTCTGGTGATTGGCGCTACTTGCTTTGCCCTTCTGCCCGTCAGCATTTCGTCTGCCAAGAAGACAATGCGTGGATAACGCATGTGCATAAGTAGAAAGTTCTGGCAGTGCCTTTCACTAAGGCATTTGGTCGACTACGAGGACATGTGGAAGCAGCGACATCATGTGCTGCCCGAGCTAGACGAATCTTGTGTTTTCGACCTTTCGCAGAATCCCAAGAAACGCTTCTGCGCTGCTTCCAACGCGTTGCCCTGCTTTCGTTTATCAACAAAGTTATGGCACCCCGCCTCGCGACGTTGGTTCTTGCCGTTAGAGATGGCCGTTTCACTGGGGTGTCCAGTCACCAGGACCTGTGCACAAGCAGCGCACATGCCCCTGGATCCCTGTGCCGAGATGTATACGCAAAGCATGCTTGGGAATGCGATGCATATACCAAGTGTCGGGGTGGTTCTCTTGGCAGCGCTCGCTTGCGCCGTTCCTTCCTAAGGGAGTTCCTGAACTCTTGCGGGGAGCTCTTTTGGAGCTTAGCCCAGCAGGAGCTGGGAAGTTTTGAAGCGCCAGGTTCCCAGGACAAGCTTTGAAACGCGAACTTTGCAGAGTACTAGAGAAAAAATATGGACTGCCTCCTTCATGTTGCCTGCTATGGTCATGATCTTTTGGCCATTTGAGCAGCATTTCGCTTTCTCAGTGTTTTGGCTCCCGGCGGTGAAGCCGGTGAGGAACTCAGCAGGTAGCTGCCAGGGATTGGCAGGGCTCCCAAGGGCCAGGGCATCATGGCCCCGAAAAAAGCCAAAGCGGACAATAAGAGCGCCGGCCCGAAGTTTGTCAAGAGCGAACTCGTCTCTGTGCATGATATCAGCATCTCTCGGGAGAGTGGCTGGCGGCCACTAGACCCCGCGCGGGTTGGGGAGTTGGTCGCCGACTTCAAGGCCGGCAGCTACGGCCAGAACACTCTGGCTGCTCCGTCCCTCATCGACGCCTGCACAT